GTTTAGGGGTTAGGGTCTCGGATTCTGCTAGCGCCTGAAGCGGACCGGCATGTCTTGTTCATGGGCCTGGTCTGTCCCTGAGAGGACGTAACTGACACAGCTGCGACTTGGCCCGGTATCAGGAGCTGGCGTAGTTCAGTGATCACGAGAGCTATAGTCTAACCTCCTTAAAAGGGGTATATACATATATGTGTATATATATACACACACAAGGGAGGGTTATGAAGGGGATACTAGGAGTTTAGACTGTAGATCACATTGAGGGGTCTACAGGGGTTGGACAGATGCTACAGTTTTTGCAGGGTTTCATGGGGACTGACTTGGTCTCTCTCAATATTAGGGGATCATCCCCCCCCAGCCCCTGTAATTAAGCATGGTCCGAAACTTCACTGTGCAATAAGGTTTCTCGTACAGCCTTCTCATACAGCACATCTTATAGGGGTTCACTTGTGCCAGGTACTGGGTTGTGCCACCAAGCACAGTGAAACTTGAAGACGACGAGGACGCCTCCGCCGACGTGGACGATGGACGACAGCCACGACAACGAATCAACATTAGCGCTAGCAAAATGACAACCAAAAATATACTATAATATATTGTAATATAGTATAATATACTATAAAATATTTTAATATACTATAATATACACAAACGTCAATGCGGACGACCGAAGACGTCAGCCCCTTCCGTTGTTGCTTGCCACCGTTGCCAGCTTAGGAATTCATGACTGGGAGGTTGACAGGCTTCCCCAAAAAGGCCTAGGGCCAAGGGCAGGCTAAAGGTGGCGTGAACAAATCCAGAGGATTTCTACACCATATAAGGATAATGGAAAACAAAATGGGATTATCTTGGGAGAATGGAAAATAAATTGGAAACTAGGAAGAACTAGCCCTCAGCTGAAGTGAAGTCCTCCCTCTTCAGCTCTTCAACTGAAAGCCCTCCCTTCCACCTCCGAAAGCTCCGACAGGTTTTGGGTTTAGGGTTTAGGGCTTACCTTGCGCCACTCCGTATCCCCCAAAGTACTGCAATTACCATTCTTGTGGCTATGCAGGGTGGTGCAAGATTTCTCCCTAGTTTCTATTTTATTTTCCATTTTTCCAATATAACCCCAGTATGCAGGGTGGTGCAAGATTTCTCCCTAGTTTCCATTTTATTTTCCATTTTTCCAATATAACCCCAGCATACTATAGTAGTTTCCATTTTGTTTTCCATAATCCTGTATAACCCTGTATACCCCGGTAGAATCCCTATATAACCCTAGTATACTAGTATCTCCGCAGACCCTCTAAACCCATAAACCCTAAACCTGAAACCCCTAAACCCTTGACCCTAAACTTTAAACCCTAACCCTTAAACCTCTAAACCCTAAATCCCTAAACCCCCAAGCCCTAAACCCTAAACCCTAAGACCCTGAAACCAGCGTCACACCAAGGAAATCCACGACAGCCGTGCTCGAGAGATCCTGCAGCGACACTGCGGTAACTACACAGCCGCCTATGGCTCCAAGAACCAGGAGCAGTGGTGGTATTGTTTGGGTTTTGGGTTTGAGGTTTACGGTCTTGGTAGTAGTGATTGTTGTCAACAGCATTGCTGTGGTTATCATAGAACTTCCAAGAAATAGTTTTGAACTTGTTGTCACTGCAGCGGTTGTTGTTATGGCTACTTGTTGTGATTGATTCTTGCTATTACCGTTGGTGGCTGTCGGCTGGCAATCAATCAAGAATAGTTGCTGGTTTTATTACCAGTCTTTTTATGATGGCCAACTCCTGTCATGCAGATTGTTGTTATCCTTGGTGGTTGCTGTTGCAAGCACAGGTGCAACCTCAATGAATCGTAAAAGGTACACCAGTAAGAATCATGCGACCATAACACACACTGGTAACCCCAACGCCCTACACCTGGTACCATGGTACCGCCAGCGTCTTACTACATAGAACTTGCAGATTGACTGTTTCCTGGCCATTCCTGGAATGGGTTTAGGGTTTAGGATTAGAGGCCCGTAGGATCCTGGTTGGGATTGTGGTTATCTTACATTATGGTCACTTATGGGGTCCTTCGTACATTCCTTAGTTTTCAGGGGGCCTGTACTAGTTAGGGCACATGACAAGTCTCATGGGAGTAGTTCCTGTTCGGGATGCTATAGTCCCTAAAATTCAGTAGGTTTATATGAGCAATAGTAATAGTCTTAACTCCTTAATTGGGGTTACATAGGGGATTATATAGGGGACTGCTATGGGGGTTATTAAGGGGGATACTAAGAGTTTAGAAAAGAAAAGGGCACATGTCCTTCCTTTAGTTACGGTCCTTTGGAACAGGAATACAATCTTACGGGGTTCAACCGCGAAAGAGCGTTACTCATATCGGTTCGAGTTGGACTGGCCCGATATCTGCTGCAGGTGCAGCTGTTGTCCTTCCGGCTGTTGTATGAGGGTCCGGTGCTTGTCGCACTAGCGTAGAAGCCTGAATAATTAGTAATACTATCGCCTTACAACTCTTGTACGAGTTTAGTAGAATGTCCTACGAGGCCCTATTCTAATCAAGCAGGCCCCTACATTCTGTTCTGTTTTGAGAAAGCCTCACAGGCTGCTATCTAGGCGCCTACCTTACTTTGTCTGCTTGTTGTTCTAGATGTGACCGCGGCTGCTATGAAGGCAGATGGTATTTCGGGTCTTTATTGGGCCCCCCTATTTTGGGAAACTACCAGGCTTGTAGCCTGCCATTCGTCTTTATCCGTCTCTTATCACTCGCCATCAGGCGCCCAACGGATTTACCTGCATGCTGAGTGTGGACCAGGTAGCCTCTTGAATGCACTGAGACGCACACAGCAACAAAGTTTTGCGCATTTTGGCACGCCAGACATGTCGATAGCCATGTTCAAGGAGGGTGTCAGGGTGTAACTGCAGGCTCTGGATTGGACTTGTGCCTTCAGCAGGCGGCGGTGGTAGCAGCAGGGTGAATACACTGTTCTCGTGGCGGTCCTGGTTCTTGTTTGAGCAGCAGCAGGAGGAATGTTTGTTTGCAGGTGACGGGTGGCGGGCTGGTGGCGGCGGTGGTAGCGGCGGCGGTGGTGGTAATCGTATTGGTGCGGCATCAGAAGCAGCGGTAGTCGGTGGAAAAGAGGCAGAGGAGGATAGAGGAGGATGTAAGAGCAGTCGGGGAGGGCAAGGAGCGGCAACAAGCTGCCACCACTGCTGCTTCGTCGTGTTTGTCGTCGTTTTCGTTGTCGTCGTCATCGTCGTCGTCGCTTCGTCGTCGTCGTCGTCGTCGTCGTCGTCCTCGTCCTCGTCCTCGTCCTCGTCCTCGTCCTCGTCGTCGTCCGTCGTCGCTCGTCGTCATGGTCGTCGTGGTCGT